TTATACAATTATTACAGTTATGGAGTAGTCTGAATAACGGTAAATCTTTTATTTTTTTGGTAATAAAAATTAATGAAAAGCAAGCATAATATAAGAGAGCCGTGGAGATGTGACTAATGAACAGATAAAATGTTATTTTAGTGCCAGGAATGCCTGCATTATGCCGGACCTTGTTTTGAAATTGGCCTTTCTTGAATTTTGTGTGAAATTGGGCAAATTGGTAATTTCAGATCACTTTATTGGGTAGTTGAAATAGGTAAACAGGCAATTTCTTGTACTCAGTCAATATAATAAAAGGGGTTCTAGCAAAATAGCTATGAGTTTGGTCGATTGGTATGATGGAATTGGCTCAAACTGGGCTAGATTGCCAATGCATAAATATCACCGAGACCGCTAACTCCGCGATAGCGTAATTCCATAAGTTTTCCATCAAATTTTGTACTGTATTTTGGTTTCACCAGCTTCACAAGATGCACAGCAAGAGCTGAAGAGATGTTTACAACATGCGTGTTAGTTGCTATACTGAGACCCACGCTGTGGACTCTGGTCATCATGTGATCCCAACATTGTTGGTCGACAACCAAGACCACATATGAGAACCAGAACCGAATTCCTCGTTTGAAAACCAGCTTGTTCAACAACTAGTCCATTCTGATGATTGTTGTTCCACTGTATTCAGTTTTAGGCTGATGCTGATACCATCAAAATTAGCCAAATACCCATGAATATCAAAACTTAGGCACACCCCACAGTCATACATATATACAGCCTCTCCTCACTTAGTAACATACTCGTTTACTGATGACTTGACTTACCATGGGCTCTCTGACCAGTATGAATACCTAAATAATGTATATTAATGCTGAATTCCTCTATTCTGTTTATTATAATATACAATACACTGCTGTATAAACATTTAAAAATACAGTGAAACCTCGGCTAATGAACGGCCCCACCATGCGAATTTTTCAGGATATGAACCGTCGTTTGGTCTATTTTTTGCTTCTGGATACGAAGGAAATTTCAGGATGCGAACTTCTCCCTCAAGGGAGGTTCCTTAACCCTTTCAGGGTCCGTCCCGTAGATCTACGGCTTTACATTCAGGGTCCAAACCGTAGATCTACGCCATGAGCTCAGCTCACTCTGATAAACTGTGAGTGGTACATTTGGGCCTAGATATGAGAGAATACATCTATGTGGTATGTGTGCACCACATAAAACAGATCCTGCAGCACACTGTGTATAATGAGAGAAAAAAAATGAAATCATGATTTTTCGATTAAAACAGCAACTTTGCAGTGTTTTTTTCGTATGTTTTTTATAGTTGTATTTGCGATTTCTTGGTCTCATTTGATAGAATGGAAGACATATTACAGAAATAGAGATGATTTTGAGTTGGTTTTAGCACTGGAAATGGCTTGAAACTGAGCTCAAAGTAGCAGAAATGTTAAATTTTTGCCGATATTCAAGAGTAAACAAACGACCTCACACGTCTAATACACGTCAGCTGTTGGGTCTAATATACATTCACAAATATGGTGATGATATTTATACAATTATTACAGTATTGCATAACAGTAAATCTTCTATTTTTTGGTGTGAATAAAAATTCATTATGTGAATAAAAAATCAAAATGGAATTTATTTGTAAAGCCTCAAAACATAACTAATGAACAGAGGAAATGTTAGTTTAGTGCCAGGAATGCCTACATTGTTCATTCTGGACCCTATTTTGAAATTGGAATATTTTGAACTTTGTGTTAAATTGGCCAAATTAACAATTTCCGATTCACTTTATTTTGTAGTTGAAACAGTTGACTTGGCGATTTCTTGTGCTCAATCGATAGAATAGAAGTAATACTAGTGAAATAGCTAAGAATTTGGTTGATTGGAATAATGTAATTGGCCTAAAATGGGAGTCAAAGTCGGCAAAATCGCCGAATTCGTAAATATCGCTGACACATCAAAATTCACGAGAGCATAATTTCGTCAGTTTTCCACCAAATTTCGTACTTTTTGTTTTATTACCTTCACAAAAAGATTCTCTACGATTTCATAAGAAAAAATAACATTTTTTTTTTTGAAAATTCTTGGACACTGGTGCGTGACTCCAGATTTGGGCCTTGGACCCTGAAAGGGTTAAATAAATAAATAAATAAAATATTTATTTCTTTGTAAAGGTTACAATGTGTGTTTACATATCATAATATGATTGGAGCAAAGAAAGCCTCTATCATGCTGCTAGCATTTCAGGCAGACTTAACCTAGTACTAATAGACTACTTAAGTCTAGACAGGTGAAAAGTGTATTAGTAGTGGTTACCAATGTTTTACTGATAGTGGCACCAACTACTGGCAGCCTTTTGAAGTTTCTCCTTACTGTTGTTGTTATTATTATTATTATTATTATTATTACACGTATTATTACTATTACATTGTATTATTATTAGTAGTAGTATGTACGTGGTGACGGGCTCTTGATAGATGGAATTGGATCTGTGTTCCAGTTCCCTAAATTAATAATAATAATATAATACAGTGGACCCCCGGTTAACGATATTTTTTCATTCCAGAAGTATGTTCAGGTGCCAGTACTGACCGAATTTCTTCCCATAGGAATATTGTGAAGTAGATTAGTCCATTTCAGACCCCCAAACATTCACGTACAAATGCACTTACATAAATACACTTACATAATTGGTCGCATTGGGAGGTGATCGTTATGCGGGGGTCCACTGTAATTATAATTATAATATGTACGTACTAAGAATAATAATAATGCAATATAATAGTAATAATAATAATAATAATAATAATAATATATTGTCATTTTTAGACATTTTTTTATATTTTTTTTTTTTTTTCATATTTTTGTGCCAAATGCTTCAAAATAGAAATTGGTAGCCCTCTGGTGGTTGTAGGTACAGCTGTACGACCACGACTATCTCAGTGCCAACCAAGAGTCAAAAGGAAGAGGAGGTGTGCCGCTCTGAGTGACCACAGCAAACCCTTGGGATGCGTAATTTTGTCTTATATTGTACAAATTTCTTAGACAATGCCTCACCCAAAGAGACAGTATTTGTGTACAATAAGCAAGAAGCGATTAGAAACTATGAAAAAAGCTAGAGAAATGAAGAAGGCAGCAGCATTGATTGGGGCAGCTAGCCGCCGACACCACCACCACCACCACCACTGTGGCCACAGTGATCATGTCTTCACTTATATATACATCTGTCTTGACCACACCTGTGGTTACATATGTGGCAACCTCACCACTAATCATAGATAAACACAAGCTAGGTGTGGGGGTTATGGACTGGGAAGATACTAGCGTGGGAGAGTAAATAGATGCTTTCTGCCACTGCTGGTGTCACCATAGAGTTGATATTAACATTATTTTGTCATGCCTCCTGAGAGGCTGGAACGGATTAATTGCATTTCAATTAATTTAAACGAGGAAAATTGACTCAGCATATGAGCAAATCAGGATATGAACAAGGTCACGGAATGGATTAAATTTGTAAGCTGAGATTCCACTGTATACCAGAAATGTTATAAATGATGCAAAGGTGACATTCAAGCAATATCAAAGATGGTTGACATAAACACACTACCATTATAGTATGCTCCTCAGCGACGAATTCATTTACCGACGTGGTCTTAACCCTTTGACTGTCACAACCCCCAATCCTGAGGTGTCTCCTGGTGTCGCAAAATTTAAAAAAAAAAATTATTTTTTCTTATGAAATGATAGAGAATCTTTTCCCGATTGTAATGACACCAAAAAAATGAAATTTGATGGAAAACTGACAGGAATTATGCTCTTGCAAAGTTAGCGACCTCGGCGATATTTACAAATCGGCGATTTTGCCCACTTTGAGCCCTATTTTTGGCTAATTCCATTGTTCCAGTCAACCAACTCATAGCTATTTCTTTAGAACTCCATTTTTTCTATCGATTGAGTACAAGAAACTGCCTATTTACCGATTTCAACTACCCAATAATGTGGTCAGAAATTTGCAATTTGGCCAATTTCACGAAAATTAAAAAATATGACAATTTCAAAATAAGGTCCAGAATGAACAATGCAGACATTCCTGGCTCTAAAATAACATTTTCTTTGTTCATCAGTCATGTCTCCAGGCCCCTCTGATATTACTCTTGCTTTCTATTTTGAATTTTTATTCAAACAAAAAATAGAAGACTTACTATTATGCAGACTACTGCAATACTGTAATAATTGTATAAATAACATCAACCCATTCATGACTGCATATTAGAATGGCTAGTTGGACATTTATTGGACAATGACATCATTTGTTTACTTTTGAACATTGGCAAAAATCAAACATTTCCCCTACTTTGAGCTCCATTTCAAGGTTCTTTTTATAGTAAAATCAATCAAAATCACCTCTATTTCTATAATATGTTTTCCATTCTATCAAATGAGACCAAGAAAATGAGAATACAACCATAAATACTATACGAAAATAGACCACAAAGTCGGCATTTTAATTAAAAAAAATGGTCGGAGTTTTTTTTTTCTCATTATGCACTGCATGCTCCAGGATTTTTTTATATGGTGCACACTGACCACACAGACCCATTCTCTCACATGTGGGCCTACCAGCTTTCTCCTGCTTGATTTGAAGCCGCTAGAATTTATGAGTATATATACGTCAAACACGGTACCTCGTAAGACGTATATATACGGCCGCGACAGTCAAAGGGTTAAGAATGGAGCTTCGTCATTAAGTGAGGAGAGGCGTATACAGTATTCAGCAATAGGTTGGGCCTGTGGAAGGTATAGTCTTTTAATGAATAGTAGGGTGAATGATAGGGCAAGCAGGGTCATTTTGACAATTCGAGAATATCTTCTCATCAATAGGTCTATTGACCTGATGGTCTATAACCATTGGAGTATGTTTAATTTTTATTTTTAGTTTGTGATAATTTTTTTGTGTGGACTTATGTAGTAAAGGGCCATGTATTTAATTACAGGTATGTCACAGGTGGTACACCTGTTGCCAGGGTGTTGTGGAGAAGAGAAAATCCCATTTTTTCACAGCTCTGAAGGTGGGCTGTGTCAAGTGGTTTAGTCCAACATATCCAAGCCACATCATCCCAATCAGCAGACGTTACTCACATTCAGCATGTGTGTTTGATTCATCCATGTATGTTTTTGGTGGGTGTACGTCAACAAATACAACATTTAATGACCTTTGGCGTTTTGACTTAGGGTTACATGAATGGACACGCTTATTGACAACAGGAACTTATCCATCGCCCAAAGCATATGCCTCAATGGTAACATGGAACAATTGCCTTGTGTTATTTGGTGGTTGGACTCATCCTTCTTTGTACCCTCTGCATCAGCAGTGGGTCTTGTTCAGCGAATTGCATGTCTTTGATATATTAGGTAATCGAGGGGACTCAACTGTACTATCCTGGATCACCCCCACCCAACAGCTGGTCATTCAGTTTCCCGGTACATGGCTGTGTTATGGTGTATTTGGTGGATTGCAAAAAACAGGGGGGGAAACCTCTGCGAGTACAAATGATGTCTTCTGTTTAGACCTTGTGAGGGACAGTGTTGGTTTAACCCTTTGTGGTGTCAGAGCCTATGCCTAAACCAAGGTTATGGCCATTCACAGATAAAACTAGATGGGGAGACATATTTTAATCCTTGCTGGATGTGGAGGCTCCAACAAACTTTACAATGTTTATTGGCTGCTAACATTACCTGATAACATTTACAACAAAAGTGAAAAATGGCATTGGGAGCAGATTTATGTAGAAGAGTTCTGAATTATGCCCTCAAAAATGTGGTATAATCCAGCATGCAAATTTGGGGAATAGTGTTGTGGTTTTGTCAACTTGTGGGCTAATAGGGGCAACAGCAGGTGGCAATATGTGTCAGCTTTTGGTCCCAGGTTCAGTAAGAAAAACAGCCAACAATGTTTGGGTGCCCCCAGTACAGCAGCCAGAAATACGTCCTCATGAACATCATCATCCAGAACGTCATCAGTTGGAACCAAACGTTAATGGCCAGCGGGGGGTTTTTCTTCGACCAGGAATCCATCCAGCAGACCAGGCAGAATCTAGCAGTGATTGTAAAGTGATGATGTAAACATTCAGGGCACACATAGTGGCCAAGGAGCATCTGGAGAGGGAGACCAAGACCTTCTATTAGGCCAAATGCAATCAAGTGATAGGGGAGCGCGGGACTTCAGGTATTGTCTAGGATGAAGGAGAGACTAAGGGAACTATCACGGCAACAAAGAACATATAAATACAGCTTTAATAAAACTAATCATCTCGTTTGTACTGTTACACCTCATATGCTGGATATCAGTCAAGTAATTTCACACAAGCAGGCTAGATGGTGGCCTGTTAACCAAAACTACTGATCTCCCAACCTGTATTGGGTTCCCCCCTCAACCATCTCTTCTTTACTCCTTTAGTTCTTGGCAGAGGACATCTTATCATGTTTGGTGGTATCCCACATGATCCCACTGGAGGACAAAGCCAAGAAACTGTATCAAAACACTGTGATATTTGTATCCGCACCTTCCAGTTCATATTTTGCTGCATAATTTATTTAAAAGATGTTAAACAGTTTTTTTATTTGTAATACTGTATATAGATATTTTTTCTTTGTTTTACAGTATTATAAGAGAACTGCAACATAGTATTGTAAATAGTATATGGCACTAAAAATATTTCATAACTCTTGTATTTTTTGGTTTGCAGTTATTTATGTGATTGTTTTTATTTGTATTTGTATAGAAATAAGGTCAAAACTGCAAAACAAATGAGCAAAAGTAATACAGTAGCACTGTCTAAAATTATGTGTAGCTGGGAAAATGATGTATCCAGGAAGACTAAAAAGTTACAATACCATGGCGGGAACAGTTACACAAATAAAACAGACTTACGAAGGGGAAAGTAATGATGACATTTTTGGTCCAACAAGTCATTGTCAATGATTTTTAAGTCTGATGAAACATCATCATGACTTTCCCTCTCCTTAGTCAGGGTTTATATGTGTATAGTTATACAGGAGCTGTATATAGTCTTACAATTTCTTTTAAAAAAAGAATAATTAAATATATAATTATTACTTGTAAGAGTTAGCATTGTAGCACAGTTAAGAGACTGTGCTCCAATGTTTAGACCTATTGGGTTTTATTTTCCTCCATTTGTCCAATTTTTCTACACAAAACATAAAGCAAAAACAAAACTTTCTTTTCTTTCTTGACCCCCTCAGGGGACATACCTTGATGCTGGTGAGGGACTCCATCCAAGAAAATTTGGGTTTATCCTTCCATTCCCTTTTTTCAACCCTGATTGCCTCCCATTTCCCTTGGAGTTGTGTCCCTATGGGTTTAGTGCTTACCCTTAAATATAATAATCCTTTATTTTTTTTTTTTTTTGTAAGAAGGGAAGCAGTTAGTTGGGTAGAAGCAAGACAGCTGCAAAATCACTGGTCTTTGCTACTCCTGCTTTACATGTTTCCACCAACTTAAGACAGGCATTGTTTTACAGTATTTTGTAGGAAGTACAATGTAATGATGGCTGGATATCTTCATAAGTGTTTGGTGTGTAAGTGAAAAATAGTTTCTTTTAAATTTCACACTGTAAAGAAATTTAGTGGTGGAAGCAGGGTACTTGCCCACTAATTTCGGCCCCCCTCTGTCCTGCCACCACTGTACTGGGGTACACATGCAGTCTTGCTCCCCCCGCCACACACACACACCACACACACACACACACACAAAACACACACACACACAACACACACACACACAGTTCCACACAAGAGATTGGTGCAAAAACTGGAGGACCAAGCAGGGATAACAGGGAAGGCACTACAATGGATCAGGGAATACTTGTCAGGAAGACAGCAGCGAGTCATGGTACGTGGCGAGGTGTCAGAGTGGGCACCTGTTGACCAGCGGGGTCCCGCAGGGGTCAGTCCTAGGACCAGTGCTGTTTCTGGTATTTGTGAACGACATGACGGAAGGAATAGACTCTGAGGTGTCCCTGTTTGCAGATGACGTGAAGTTGATGAGAAGAATTCACTCAAACGAAGACCAGGCAGAACTACAAAGGGATCTGGACAGGCTGCAGACCTGGTCCAGCAATTGGCTCTCTGGAGTTCAATCCACCAAGTGCAAAGTCATGAAGATCGGGGAAGGGCAAAGAAGGCCGCAGACGGAGTACAGTCTAGGGGGTCAGAGACTACAAACCTCACTCAAGGAAAAAGATCTTGGGTGAGTATAACACCAGGCACATCTCCTGAAGCACACATCAACCAAATAACTGCTGCAGCATATGGGCGCCTAGCAAACCTCAGAACAGCATTCCGACATCTTAATAAGGAATCGTTCAGGACCCTGTACACCGTGTACGTTAGGCCCATATTGGAGTATGCGGCACCAGTTTGGAACCCACACCTAGCCAAGCACGTGAAGAAATTTAGAGAAAGTGCAAAGGTTGCAACAAGACTAGTCCCAGAGCTAAGAGGTATGTCCTACGAGGAGAGGTTAAGGGAAATCAACCTGACGACACTGGAGGACAGAGAGATAGGGGGGAAAATGATAACGACATACAAAATACTGAGGGAATTGACAAGGTGAACAAAGACAGGATGTTCCAGCGATTGGACACAGTAACAAGGGGACACAGTTGGAAGCTGAAGACACAGATGAATCACAGGGATGTTAGGAAGTATTTCTTCAGCCACAGAGTAGTCAGTAAGTGGAATAGTTTGGGAAGCGATGTAGTGGAGGCAGGATCCATACATAGCTTTAAGCAGAGGTATGATAAAGCTCACGACTCAGGGAGAGTGACCTAGTAGCGATCAGTGAAGAGGCGGGGCCAGGAGCTAGGACTCGACCCCCGCAACCTCAACTAGGTGAGTACAACTAGGTGAGTACACACACACACACACACACACACACACCTACACACCTACACACACACACAACAGGCCTAGTGTCTAATCGACATGTGCCTAGGACAAAATGGTAACTAACACACACACACACACACACACACACACACACTCACTCACACTGACTACATTTCATTATGCTACCACTGCACTACACTCCACACCACCACCACATTTTTGCCATTTGGTTTTAAAAATGGCATGGAATTTAACTTAATCCTTTCACTGTTGCAACCACTGAAATTAAAAATGCTGTTAGTGTTATGATTTGAAAAACAATCTTCTAAAATGGTAGGGAATTTTTTCCAATTGGCACTAAAAATGCAAAATTTGATGGAAGAATTACGAAAATATGTAAGTGTCAGGTTGGTAGTCTGAGTGCAAGTTAAACAGCAATTTTGCTCACTTTCAGGTTAATTTTGGCCTAATTCCACTGATTAAACTAACCCAATTCCTTGCTGTGTTTGCCAGATGCCGTCCATTCTACCTTATAATGTTCACAAAAGTCAGTAATTTAGCCAGTTTTTGCATATAATTAACCCTTTGACTGTCGTGGCCGTATATACACGTCTTACGAGGTACTGTGTTCGACGTATATATACTCATAAATTTTAGCGGCTTCAAATCAAGCAGGAGAAAGCTGGTAGGCCCACATGTGAGAGAATGGGTCTGTGTGGTCAGTGTGCACCATATAAAAAAAAATCCTGGACCTTTTTTTTTAATTAAAATGCCGACTTTGTGGTCTATTTTCGTATAGTATTTATTCTCGTTTTCTTGGTCTCATTTGATAGAATGGAAAACATATTATAGAAATAGAGGTGATTTTGATTGATTTTACTATAAAAAGAACCTAGAAATGGAGCTCAAAGTTGGGGAAATGTTTGATTTTTGCCAATGTTCAAAAGTAAACAAATGATGCCATTGTCCAATAAATGTCCAACTAGCCATTCTAGAGTGCAGTCATGAATGGGTTGATGTTTTTATACAATTATTACAATATTGCAGTTAGTCTGCATAATAGTAAGTCTTCTATTTTTTGTTTGAATAAAAAATTAAAATAGAAAGCAAGGTAATTATTAGAGGGGCCTGGAGACATGACTGATGAGCAAAAAAATGTTATTTTTAGAGCAGGAATGTCTGCATTGTTCATTCTGGACCTTATTTGAAATGTCCATATTTTTTAGTTTTCGTGAAATTGGCCAAATTGCAAATTTCTGACTACATTTATTAGGTAGTTGAAAAATCGGTAAATGGCAGTTTTTGTACTAATCGATAGAAAAAAAGAGTTTATTTAGAAAATGCTATGAGTTGGGCGACTGGAATAAATGGAAATTTAGCTGAAAATAGGGCTCAAAGTGGGCGAAATCGCCGATTTGTAAACAGCGCCGAGGTCGCTAACTTCGCGAGAGCATAATTCCGTCAGTTTTCCATCAAATTTCGTTTTTTTTTGGTGCCCTTCCAATCGGGAAAAGATTCTCTATCATTTCATAAGAAAAAATCATTTTTTTTTTTTTTTTAATTGGATTAAATTTCTACATTTCAACGTATAAAAAGTCAAATGTCTTTTAAACATTAGGCATTCCATTTACTATAACAACCTTTCCTCCGTTCATTAATCCTAACCCCAAGCTTCTGTATAACACTTTCCCTCCATTTTGAATCAGTCATCATACAAAATATTTAAGTTTCATTCTGTGGCCATGGTCGTGGTTTAGGCCGCCAGAATAATTGAGGAAAATCTAGTACAGAGCCCACAAAAAGACCAGGAGAAAGGGGTAGAGGGGCCCCTATTATGCCTCAGTAAAATTTCCCAAAATTTAAAGTTTCTGACTATTTCAAGCCACCTCCAGTTGGAAACCTACCATAATCATCTTCATAGCTGTTCCCATCATGCTGTGTGGGGAGACAGCATTTTAATTTCATACTGTACTGTGCACACCTACCACAGACCTATTCTCTCATATGTCTAGGCCAGAATTTACTGATGGCAGCATAACCGAGGGCGTTATGATGAAAGTTTAGATTTACGTAAGTGACACACCTCAATGATATAGATTGACATGGGAGACAGAAAGGGTTAAACTAGCCAGTCACTCACGCTTTTTATCAAACAGCCCAGATTAACTCAGGGCAGTTAGTTATAATTGAAAAGACATATTTTTTTTCTTAAA